AAGGCAGGGCTGCCTCGTCCAGGAGGAGCATCAGCAAAGTGGTGTACGATGATCATGAGAGTGAAGAGGAGGAGGAGAGCATGGTGTCCGAGGAGGAAGAGGAGGGAGACCCCGAGGATAACCAGGACTCCGAGGAGGAAGAGGAGGAGGAGATAATGGAGGAGGAGGACGACGACGACTCTGACTACCCTGAAGAGATGGAGGATGAAGACGATGCCAGTTATTGCACTGAGAGCAGCTTCAGGAGCCACAGCACCTACAGCAGCACCCCAGGTAGAGAGTCAGTGGGATGAACTAAAACAAGTCGAGGGCACCCCACATGCTCCCTCTAGGTTTGCAAATACAGTCCGCACGCATTCTTCCTCCCATGCGTGTATGTGAGGGATGCCTGCAAGCACTCACAGGGAGAGAGGGGTATGCAAATTAACGACTGGCAACCCCACGGATGCAGGGAACATTAGAAGATGCTTACAACCACATGCACGGAGAGGAGGGAGGGAGGGAGGGCAGTACATGCTGTAACAAGGGGATGCTCTGCAAATATGCATGGATATTCTGGTGACTGCAGAAATGCATGATACACCAGAACATGTTGCAAACAATGTCAAAAGTGTATGGAGCATTCACTTAATATTTAAAAACAAGGGAAACGAGATGCATGCCTTACAAAGAGGTCCTTTCAAATATATACAGGAAAGGATGGCTTGTGCTTGCAAATATAACTTGATGTTAAAAGGAAAGGAAGCACATGCAACTGGAAGTGGCCTAAGAAAAAAAACAACCATAAACACTGAAAATTTTCTGGCTCTTGAAATCAGAGGTATAACTGGATCCAGCATTTACTGGCTTTAAGACAAAACTAGCTTTCCAAGGAGGGAAATGAGGTGCATTGTTCAAAATGGAGATTGCATTGTTATAGTTTGGGGAAAAGTGCACAGGGCCTCGTTGCAAGGGTGTAAACCTAGTTTTAGTTAAACACAAAGATTAAAAGGTGGAGGTTGAGTCAAAAGTCTTGGTTTTAAATACTGCATTTATTCTAAGATATGGCAACCTTTAAAACTCATGTTGGGGGTTTAAACTTGTTAAACATCATTGTGATTATTTTTTTAAGCTCTAGTGGCAAATTTGGGCTCCAATTTTCAAGGCCTGGACTTCTGTTTGTCCTTAATTAGTTCATTAACCATGTGGGCTTCAAGCTTCAAAAAATTCCTTTATCTAAACTTAAGCACTCTGGATTTATTTGAATTCATTCCAGAATGGAGTTCAAGCTTAGGATTTTTTTTTTAATT